AAAATATCATTCTTTTATCTTTGAATAATAAAAATTCTACGAATATTAAATTATAAATTTATCCTTAAATTATTTTAGATTTACAAAAAAAAAAAAATTTATAATTAAAATTTTATATGAAGTTCAGGTGTTAAAATTTTACCCTTTCATTAAACATTTTTTATATTTTTAAAAAATTATATAAATATTATGAATTTAATTTTTTAAAGAAAATATATAAATATTTTACAATTTGTAATATTATACAAATATATAATAAGGACAATTTGGTCAAATATACATTCCAATAATCTTTTATTCCTTTAATTAAATACGGTAATCTTACATTCCTGCTAAACCAATCAAACACAAAATACAACATTTTCATTAATCCTATTCCGTGATAATCTTTTATTCCTACTGGTAGTCTTACATTCCGTGAACCAAACGCATCCTTAGGGTACTTTTAATATACCGTTAAAGAAATATGTTATTGTAAATATTAATATTTTTTTAATATTTTTGATAAAATGTTACTTAAAATAATATATTTTATCAAAAATATTAATATTTGATACTACCTAAAATGTTTAATATTTTCGGTAAAGTATTATCTAAAACATTAATTTTTTTACTGAAAATATTAATATTGGACGTTACCTAAAATATTATTTTTTTCTACTGGAAATTAGGTAGCGAAATTAACATTTTTTGTATAAAAAATAATAATGATTTAGGTAATATTTTACTAAAAATATTAAAAAAATACTAATATTTCAAGTAAAGTATTTATTTAGTTGTATAATAAGATTGTCGTATAACAAAATTACCCAATAATAAACACAGTAAGAAATGTAGAGAATTGGGGACGCTGGATTTTTTTATTTTTTTTCTTTCTTTTTAGTATTTTTAACGTGTTTATTAACGTTTTAATTTAAATTAATATTAAATTTAATTTTCAACCATCTTTCTTTTCTAAAGTTAATTAGAGCTTGAATTTTTTAAACTAGATTGGTTTTTTTATTGATACTTGAAAATGTTGGATATCTATATTTCAATCGTTCACTAATAACAATAGCACTCCAATAAATAAATCAAACTCAATCTTATCTTTTTCTATTATTAGAATAAAAATTAATTTTTTTAAGAAAAAAATTCAAATTAGTGAGTAAATTTATGTCAATTTATTTATTTAAAGAGAGAATAGCAAAATGAAAATACATCAATAAAGAGATCATATACAATTAATGGGCATGAAGGTGAAGAAAACAATCCCAATAATTAATTACAAAAATTAAACTATGAGCAAATATTTAATCTATCTATGGAATACTAAGAAATAATTTTTTGTTGAAAAAATATATAAAATGGGTTAAAATTTCGGTAGGTTCTAGTTAAGCCTGACCTATCTCAATATTTGGTGTCCCACACGTCATGCGGGTACGTCCTCAACCCCGGTTGAGATTGACTAGCACCCTCTCTACCCGCGTTCAATAGAGAACCTTTTGGCTTTACATTCACCCATCAACAAAAATAATTTTCAAATCTCATACTATTTTCCTGTGGGATGAAATGTTTTAAGATACAATTTTTTTTTCTCAACATCATTTTGCATGTAGATGACTTTGAGAACCATTTTTCACTCTTTATCCAACCATTTTTAGCATATTATACATCGTTATAAAAATCTCATGGAGTAAAATATAAAAATATAATTTTATTATTCAAACCTTCATTTTTACCAATAGATAATATGCCTCAAAGTTGTAAAAAATTCATTATTTTCCAATAATCTCCCACATGAATAAAATTGATAGATCAACGAAATAAAATGACTTGACGTGGTAATAGAATGTACGTTCGACATTTGCATAAGATAGGTGGCATCAACCCTTGAATTTTCCCTTGTGAAAGTATATTTAGTTTACTAGATGACCAATAGACACAATGTATTTGAATTGTTCTACCGTTTGTGTAAGCGATGATATATCTCACATAAATACATTCATGGCTAGATTTTGGTTATAATGGTTATGTTCATAAGGTCGTGAACATATTTTGGTTCTGCAATAAATTTAGAGAACTATCCCGTAATAATTTTTTTGAAGTGGCTTCATTTCACTCTTACATAGGTGACTTATGTTTCTTCACTCATTGAATCACACAATGGTCATTAAAAGCAACATTTTCCAAAATTTAATCATTATTTTCGTCATCAAAATAAACTTGGGATAAGAACACCCACAATGACCTCATAAAATATACGCAAGTTGGTTGTCACTTTGAATTTAAATCTTGGGATCTCCAGTCAACTAGGTTGGAATTTTCTTCACATAATGTCTTAAATATTCTTGAGATTCATTCTCATTTCTTTCAATGTTTTATCAACCTGATCTCGGTTCAACCTTTTTGGTTACCAAATTCATAATGTTATTTGATGACTTTACAAAATCAATATAGATAACTCTAGTTGAGATCAGTTGTCTAACAATATTGTGTCCACGATGCACGTTGACTTATCATATATAGATAACTCTAGTTGAGATCAGTTGTCTAACAATACTGTGTCCACGATGCATGTGTCTTGACTTACCATTGTACATTATGTTATGTACTATACAAATTATTGTTTGGTTATCACAACATAAACATATCGTGGGTATATGTTTTGGTCATTCGGTAATATCCTCCAAGAAATTTTGTAGCCATTCAACTTCTTCACTAGATTTTTCTAGAGCTACAAACTTATAGTTCAATGTGGATCTAGTTATAATCATTTGCCTTGAGGATTTCTATGACACGACTCTTTCTCCAATGTGAAAACATATCCAATTGTGACTTTAATATCTTCAGTATCAAATATCCAACTAGCATTAAATAATCTTTTTAACAAAACAAGATTTCTAGATAATGTAGTAATAATCTCGAGTATATATGAGATATCTCAATACCCTAATAATCACTTTCTAGTGGTCCTCTCATGGTTTGCTTGTGCATATGTTTAAACTGCTTATAATGATAGTAATATTTGGTCTAGCACAACTCATAAGGTACATAAGACTGCGTATGATTCTTGCATGTTCCACTTGGTTTAACACCCTATACTCGGCCACGTATGATGACTCGAATATTCTGAGTGCACATTAGATTCCAAAGTGAATCAGAAAAATAAACCTTAATCATGCATATTAAGCGGGAATAATTTAAATGACTCATATTTACCATTTGTAAGTCATTATGTGTGCTTGATTAGTTTGTAAGAGTTAGTAGAGCATGTAAGTACATCCATGGTAGATTGTGACATTTGATGTTATATAGCATGAAAAATGACTCTTTATGACTCCTATCAACTCACGTAATACTTAAATAACATTTAAGGATCTTATAGAGGCAAATAACGAAAATTAAGTGTCCTTTTAAAGTAAAAAAGAGTAATTATGGGCTCAAGTATCAATACTAAATGAATAGTAATGATATTGTTCTCCAGATAGTCAAAACAAGTGGTTTTTGGCTTAATAGTAACAGTACCCTACTCATAGGGTATCAATATTATTCATCGGGTATTGATACCCAAGGGTGAGGTATCAGTACCAATGTTAAGATACAATTACAATAGATAGTTTTGGTATCAATACCCTAAGTAAGGGTATTGATACTGATTATAATTTCTCAAACACCGAACCTAGTTTCGATATCGATACTCGGGATGGCATCAGTACCCTAATAGAGAAGTATGATACTCCAAATAAGAGTATCGATACTACATGGGTTCCTTAGATTCTAGAATACAATTTTGGTATTGGTATCAAGGGTGGGTATCGATACTGAAGGGTTAGTATTGATACTAAAGGGCTTAATATCGACACCATCGTCCTGACTTGGGCAAGAAACCTAACTTTGTTATAAGGGTTTGGAAGAGGGTCTAGATTCACCACAATTTCTTAAATGAACTTACAAGTTGGAACATCTAATGAATATATTGAAAAGCTAAGTATAATATGAAATAAGATTTCATAAAACTAGTCATTGGATGGCGCTTGGGAAATATCAATGATACTCGAGTTACTCTAGCAGTACGATGATCGTATAGAATGAATAAAATATTAGGATATATCTCAGCTAGTGCCAAGGCACTTCAATTGCTAATTGGGTATCCCGAGATGAAGCAAACCCTCCGACCATACTATGATGCCTACCTTAGCATGTGTGTTAGTATATTTGTATGCTCGTGTCCTTGTTTGCATGACCATATGATAAACGCACGTAGTATATACAATTATTAATGTGGTACTCAGCTTGTAAGCTCGGTGTTCTGAATTTTTTTTCGTGCGCAAGTTCTTATGAGGATGGTCGAGGAGCTTATCGCACAACTTGCATTCCAGATCATTCGAGCAGTAAGAGTACGGTTAACGTATTCAATGTTCCCATATAATATTCTAGTCTGGATTGGATCGAATTAGGGTGTTCCACAATTTAAAAGAATTATGCTCCAAGATCACTTAATGATAAATAGTTACGATATTACATATCGCGTTGCACATTGATCCGTTCTCACATGGCTCAATGACTAACAATACCAAGTAGCCCAATGCACCATACAATGTTTTTTTTACAACACTATTAAAAAGTAATACCAAACACTAAATTTCAGATTTAGTCTTCTAATTGACCTCAAAATAAATCCTGAGAAATAAAATTTAATAACTACAATATATATGTATTTGACTCATATTTTATATATTATAATCATTTCTATAAATATAAATATAGGGAGTAAAATATAAACTAAAAACATTAGATGTACATTGATTCTTGTAATGGTAAAAAGAAGTATCCACACGTATGAACTGTGTAAAAGTAAAAAATTGAAATAGCATGAGCATCACAGTTCACAACATTGTAGACCCCAGTACCACCTATTTGGCCAAACAATAAAACAAAAATATATATCCTCTCTCTCCTAGTCTTTTATGTGCATTCGTGTCTTTGACTTGGACTCTCTCCGGCTAAAATAAAGTGAATAAAACAACGAAAAAGAAAAAACCTTCAATAATTAATACCAAGCTCCTCCCTTCCCTTACTCAAGCAAACCACTATAATCTTCATCCTTTTCAGTATCTACTCTTTGAGTTGCGTTTAATAACTCCCTTCAGCCTGCTCCGCCTCGGCATGGGCGTACTCCGCCACTACACTGCCGCTGCCTTCGCCTTTCTCTTATTTGTTTCTGCTTCACTCATCACGATTTCTCAACTCGGTAAGAACTTTAATAAAAATGCATATCTAGAAGTATGATAAAAACACTGACTCGGTCTTAACTCAGTGCGGTTTATGTCTATTTTTTGCAGGCAGCGGGTTCCAGGAGAGAGTGGGAAGTGAGAAGAGAAGTGGGTCAGGTGTGTTGGACCGGTTCTTTGCTCAGAAGCGACTCAGTGGACCTGGTTCTTCACCACCTTCCTGCAGATCCAAGTGTGGAAGCTGCTCACCTTGTAAACCGGTTCACGTTCCGATTCAACCGGGGTTTAGTATACCACTTGAGTACTACCCTGAAGCTTGGCGTTGCAAGTGTGGCAACAAGCTTTTCATGCCCTAAAAGAAAAAACAAGAACAAAGCCCACAGTACAATAAAATTCTAAGATCTCCTCTGTCAAAAAAAAACAATTGTTTTAGCACTTATAATATATTTTACTATTATGGTAACTTACATTGTTGGTTCTTTTCTGTGTTTTTATAATGATTTGCATTTCCTGTGAGAGGCAGGAAAGCTTTGGGAATGTAAGTTGTTTTTAGGTGAGATTACCGAGAGGGATTTCTTTTCTCTTTAGTTCATCTTTCTCTTCTGCTTATAATTTTTTTCCTTCTGCCTCTTTCACTTGCATTGAAGCAAGTTTGTAATTAAGATCATGTTTTAAAGAAAAACCAGAAGCTCTTTTAATGTAAACTTGTATTGTATTTCTAGTTTCTATAATAACTTATTAGTATTTAGTTTTAACTTGGAACTCATATTTTGACACTGAATATGAGAACTGTTGCAAGTTTCAACTGTTGGTACTTTTTTTTAGCTATTGTCCTGACTTATGATTACTGCACGTATGTAACCCCGGTTGAACTGCTTTTTAATTAGCCCCGTTTTGTTGTTTTTACCGTTTCTTAATGTAACCAAAAAAAGGGAAAGAAAAAAACTCTGTAGAAATAAAAGTTATAGTTTTTTGTAACTTTTCTATTATCATATTCCCATCGTAGAGATAATAATTTTAAAGAAGAATTTAAAAAATGCAGTATTTTGATGTGGTAATTCTTCCTTTGATAGATGCATGAATATGAATATAAGTAATGATAAAGAAAGAGATTTAAACTGTTCTTGTGGTTGCATTTTCGATCATGTTGTTTTTATTGTGATTCGATAATAACGGGTGTTATTATAAGTATCACGGTTGTACAATAATAATTTCGGACGATATCTTTACTGTTATATAATAACCGTTATTCTGATAAGCCACTATTTAAATCCCTCAGTATAAGATTCCCTCCATGTGAATTATTATCAAGAACTCAGCAATATCTCATGTTCTTTTCTAAACATGACTAGTAAAATTTTATGTGTAGCTTGAATTTTTTAAAATCTTAAGAATTGATGAATTTATAAAATTTTAGAAAGACAAATATTTTTTAATTAAAAATACATTAAAATAATTTTAAATATATAATAATTTAAATTTTTAGTAACTACTACCTCAACCTTCTTTTTCAATCCATCCCTGACTAGAAGAAGAAGAAGAAAAAGAGGGTATTGCCGTACAGCTGGTGAGAGGGGTGCGTTTCAAGATTTTGTTTTGTGGTGATCTACAAGACACGGTATTTTGCCAACACTAGATAACGCCATCGTTAGTGTTTTATTCAAACTTGTTATAAATAGTAACAATTACCTGTTTGGTCATGTTCAATTTACTCCACCAATATTCAACTAAATAAATTAATACTTTTTGGTTTAGATATTGGTGGGAACATGTACATTCATAATAACTTTATTAAGAAATTTTCAAAATACTGATCATGTAAAATTGTAATTACAACTTCCAACTTATGTAATTCGTCGGATTTTAAAAGTACATATTAATGTTTAGGGTAAACTACACATTTAGTACTTAAACTATTACTATTATTCTATTTAATATTTAAGCTTTATTTTCTTTTATAACCATAGCTAACGTTTAAATTATGTTTCAATTTGGTACTCCGTCGTTAAAAGATTAACAAAATTGATGATGTGGTTTTTTTTATATTTTTTTCAAATCATCGTTAAATTTTTAACGGCTCAATACAAAAATGAAACATAAACTAAACGTCATGAATGATTTTGAAACAAAAAAACTCTAAGTACCAAAGCATAACAAAAATAATAGCTTAAGTACTAAACATATATATGATTTTTTTTTGTTATAACGCATGTATTGAATTTTCTTATTTGCATCAATAAGGGAGAAACAAATGCAAATGATTTAGGTAAATTACATATTTAGTCATTCAACTATTTTTTCAGTTTTGTTTTTATCATCTAACATTTTTCTAAAAAGCATATCTAAATTTACGTTTTTGTTTTATTTGAATCACTCTCTATTAAAAAGGTAACGGTAATGTTGATGTATTATCATAAGGTAATATCACGTTATCATTAAAAAAAATATCATGTTAATAATTTTGTTTATTTTTAATGATAAGTGACTAAAATAAAATAAAAACGTTACTTTATGCATTATTTAAAAAAATAATTTAATAATTAAAAGGAAACTGCAAGAATAATTATATAACTAAATAATAATTTAGCCTATGATTTAATAGGACAATGATTAAATTACATTAGGGAAATGGTTAAAGAGATGCATTATTTTTCTATTTTGAGTATAAATAGGGAATAGGTAGAGAGAGGAATGACGGGGACATGTTGTTTGTTTGCCATCCCTAATTTCTCATCTGAGAAGATGGTTGCTTGTTTGTTTGTTTCCTATGCCTTTTTCTTCTGATTAATTAATGCCATACACACTTTTTTCTCTCTTTCCTTTCTCTTTCGCTATTTATGATACTACAGATTATTTTATTTCACACAAAACTTAAAATTTCCAATATTTTTATTTAGATAAAATATATTAATAGTCTCTCAATTATAGGACGTTATTTTATTGAATATTATGATTATTAAAAAGTTATAAAATAATCTCTAACTATAAAATACTATTTTATCGAGTCCTTTAACTATTAAAAGTTATGAAATGATCACCTACTATTTCTATATTACAAAATCATCCTTTTTTTGTTAATCTAAGCTGAATGTTAATTTACTGACTGATATATGATAAAATTTGATCTCATAACCGTTTGAGTTTTATAATCTTTCGAGATTTTGGGATCAGATTTTATCATATTCAGTCAACAAGTTGACGTTAAGCTCAGACGATTATTTATTTTTAACAAAAAAATGACGAGTTTAAAACATATGAATAGTCATATGATCATTTTATAACTTTAATAGTTGGGGACTAGAAAAAGTAGTGTTTAATAATTTTAAAACTATTTTATAACTTTTAATAGTCAATGTACTCAGTAAATAAATACCTTATAGTCACAAAAACTTTATCATTTTATTCAATTCAATTAGTTAGATTATAAAATTATTTTATTTGATTAACTCTTTTTACGATAAAATTAATTAAAATTAAAATTAACATTTTGCATTAATTAATTTTTTTTTCAGTAAAATTGTTTATTATTATATCACGAGCTTTGATGACTTTATTTGAAAGAAAAAAAATTATAGACATTCGATAAATTATAAAAATGTTCATTTAATTTAAGGGTAAACTACATCATTTTTTGCTAAACTTTACTTATCTTTTATTTCACTCATTGTACTTTCAAATTTTTTAAATTACTCACTGAACTTTTGAATTATTTCTGTTTTCGTCACTATAACTTGTTTTATTAATATTATTCTAAGATGTGACATTTTTATTATTATTAAAATATAAAAATAATTTAAAATAAATAATAAAATAATATTTTCACTTCTCACTATCTACAACATCACATCTTCTCGTCACCGTTGACAATAGTCGGCCTTTGAAATCGATAACAGATAATCGTTTGATCTTGAATTGTATCGAGAGACTAACTTTGAAACGCTGAGTTTGAATCTGATGATTGTTTCATCGGAAAATATCTTAAAACTCGTGAATCTCAACCGAAAAACATTTCAGTTTCGTCATTTTTAATTTCTATTTGTGGATTTCGATGCATGTTTGGACAAAATAGATGTCAGATTCAAACTCAAGATCGAGACGAAACGATCCATGAAATTTAAAATCGACCATATAAGGCGGTTGACCACCAAAATAGAACATGTTGTGGTTTGGGTTGATTTTAAACTTCTCTATTTGCAGGGGTTGTCCTGAGGAACAAGACAGCCATCGTCACCGTCGTTACTAGTGCCGTTACCCCCACCGCCGTGGGTGTTGCCGTTAGAAGATTGTTGTTGTTCAATTTGTCATTTGGGTCGTTGATATGGGCTGATGGGTGTTGAACTGATGGGGTTTGACTTGAGTGCTGGTTGGTTCACTGTACCGACGAACCGATCGGTTCTCTTGTTTGGGTCACTATTTTGGGGTTCGGTTCAAGCTTGTATTTCTTTTTCCTCCTCGTTCCCCATTTTAAAACCAAGCTACCCTTGAGAATATCTCGGGATTGTGGTTCCTAATTTTTCAAATATAATAATAATAGCTGTAATAATAATTAATCACATCAAACATCTGGTTTATATTTTTTATTTTTTAGATAATTTGAAATATATACGAATCAGTTAAAATTTAATTTCAAATAATCCAACCTTTAATTTTTTTAGGCAAATCCAGATATCTCAAGCAGCCAGCCCGCACCTAGCCTGAAATGCTCGGCCTTGAGCCTAATATCTCCCCAAATTTCACCACACCCGACTTGCCCTTTATCATCATTCCCATTCCCATTCCCATTCCCATTCTCAAGGTAAAAACACCGGCAACAATCACTAATGTTGCTCAGTCTTTCCATAATAACCTAAATCAATTCCTTTTCGTTGCTTCGAGGTAAACTCGCTAAAAACAATAATAGTCATTCGCTTACTCTTTCATTGTGGGATCTTGATCAATTGTACAAGTCTAAATGGGAATTAGCGCTCAACCTTCACCTGCTAATATATCAGACGTCTCGCCACAAAATCAGTCACAATATGCTTCAGGCTAGACCACCAATACCTCTCTTGTTGCCTCAATTCCTTATCATCAGACATACAAAGTCTTCGATGTAAGTATAGAATCCTATCCTAATTAAACTCAAAATATATAGTGATGACATACTCAATAGCTTGACCCTGAGCATCAAGGCCACATTCAAAGGTTGTTTCACCTTGATCTCGCTAACCAAGGTGGGTTTCACTTGTAGTTCAACCAGAAGACTACCTTCATAAACCAGACTCAGATAAGCAATTCTCTCTCTTAGATCATACATCAATTTCATATTCAGTGGATGAACCACAACATTAACCTCACATAGAAGGTGTTGAATCACACACTCCAAGTCTTTTAACAACTCAATTCTTCTCCTATGTATTAACTCTTTCTGAGAGTGTAGATACTTGAAGCTCTTAAGATCTGTATAGATATAACACTTCTTACTGTACAAGTAGTACCTCCAAACTTTTAGTGCAAAGACTATGCTTCCGGTTCTTGATCATAGGTAGGATAATTACATTCATTAGGTTTCAATTATCTTGGTGTGTAAACCACCACCTTACCATCTTGCCTTGGAACACAACCT